CGCCGGGTGTCCATAGTGGATTCCAGGCCAGCGGAAGTTACAGGGGAACCCTTTAAAAAAAAAAAAAAAAAAAAGGAATAACCTTGCCAGATAATATAAGCAAAGCTTCATTCAGATAATTTTAGAAGAGAACATCAAAATTCTTAGATATTTTTTTCTGTTTTTCATTGCTAAACAGTGTCTCTTGTTTGGAACATTTTTCTCATTTCATATGAAATAACATTTCTTTTGCATTAGAGAACAGAGTGAATTAAAAAGAGAAAATTAGGGGCTGGAGAGATGGCTCAGAGGTTAAGAGCAGTGGCTGTTCTTGCAAAGGATACATGTTCGATTCCCAGCACCCACATGGACAACCATTCATAACTTCAGTTCTAGGAGAATGTAATGTCCTCTTCCGAACACTGCGGGCACTGCACAACACAGGCGCACTTTATACACATGCAGGCAATATATTCATATACAAATATAAAATAACAAAATAAATTTTAGAAAGAGAAAAATAATGATTTTCAACAGTTACAGCTGTTATGTCTTTTCATATGTTTCATTTTATCGACATTCTTTACCAAAACAGGTAAAACTTAACCTTCAAAATACCAAATATGAAGTAGAGAAAAACCTTGCTGATTAATATTATGGTGAATTAACTTCTGGGGATGTTATAGGTAATTTGTGTATTAGTTACTTTTGTATCACCTGAGAAAACAAGATTCAAAAAGGAAGGGTTTCTTTTGGCTCACAAGTTGAGGGTACAATCCATCATGGCAGGGAAGGCATGGAGGTAGAAGCCTGAAGTGGATGGGCACACTGTATCCATCCCCAGTATGGAAACAGAGGGTAGGCAGGAACTGGAACTAGGCTACCAAACCTCAAGGCCCATCCTTAGTGATTCAAATCATCCATCAAGACTCAAGCTCCCAGATGTTCCTCAGCCTTCCAAAATGGTGCAACCAGCTGGAGACCAAGTAGTTAAACACACAAATGTATAAGGGACGTTTCACATTCAAATCCCAACAAATTCTCTTTCTCTTTCTCTCTCTCTCTTTCTGTGTTGGAATGAAGTGTAAGGTGTTGAGGATGATAGCTATTCTTATAGTGAGTTACACCCCTGAATTCTATAATTCATAGCATTTCTAATGTACAGCCTATATACTTTGAATTTTATTGGCTTGTACAATGATGGGTGCCTTTTAAATATAACCTAACTTTTCTTGTGTTGGATAGATGAAGTGCTTTCATATATCGACATGTAAACAATTAAAGGAAGTACGCAGCTGGCACAGCATTTCACCTTTATAGTATTCTGGTGTATCATTTTTGCAGTTATCTCCTGACTGTTTCTTGGGGGAGGTTTACACACACCAAGGTGTTGTGATCATCAGGTATATGCACATTGCACACATCTCCAAGAGCCCATGGGAATGTTTGAGATGAATAGGAAGATTAGCTGATCCCTAGAATAAACTAATAAACTGCTTAATTAAATTCACATAAATGGGATGTTAGATAAATTTTATTTAATTGGCAAATTTGTAGTCATAGAAAGCATACGGCTTTATACACAACTTTTACATATAAGTATTTGTATTTGTAGATCTCATCCCCATATATCAAGATGTTTGTGGCCTAATTATTAAAATTGTTTTTCGTTCAATATTTGGCACATTGTGGGTAGATGAGTGTTTTTCAGAGAAATAGAAGCAATGTAGGATATTCTATCTATCTATCTATCATCTATTTATCTATCTATCTATGCATGTATCTATCTATCTATCACCTATCTATCTATCATCTATCTATCATCTATCATCTATATACCTATCTACATCATCTATCATCAATCCATGAATTACAGAGTGTCTATTTTCTATAATCTTGTACATATATGAAGTGTTGCTTGCAAGCTGCAAACACAGGCATACCAGTCATGTGCTTTGAAGACCCAAGATCCATAAAGGCAGAAGAAAAATATGGTCTAAGCACAGGAAGTCAGGAAGAAAAAGAGGAAAACCACATTTTTCCTCCATTTTTCTATTCAAACTCTCAATGAATTACAGCCCCTCTACACTGGCTGGGCCATCTGCTTAACTCTGTCCACTGATCTAAATGCTAATCTCTTCTAGGGATACTTCCCAGATAGACCCAGGAGTTTCATTTTACAAGATATTTGGGCATCACTATGAAACAACAGCAGCTACATAATAAATCCAAATAGGCATTCTTTGCTGTTGGAAGGCCATCTCTTCCTCTATAAATTCTCTCTAAGGTCTGTTCCTATGCTAAATACATATACATTTGTGTGGAGGAACGTCTCTTCCCAAGGCCCTGTTTCTCTTTTTCTTTTTCCCCACTCCTGAGGATTGACTCTGTGGCTTTGTGTAAGCTAGGTGAGAACTCTACCACTGACATCTCAGCCTCCTTTTATTTTGTATTCTAATATTCTAGACTTCATCCCAGATTCCTAGGCTAGACCATCTGTGGCCTAGGCAGGCCTTGAACTTGGGATCTTCCTACCTCAGTGTTCTGAGTAGCAGGGATTACAGACCTATATCATTAGAGCTGCCTCTATTCTCTTATATAGTTTCTTGGAATCTCTTCTGAATGTTCCGATTAAGGGATTTATTCGGTTCAATCAGAAAGGTGCTAGTGGTGTAGGAGTGGGACTTCAGCGCCTTGGGTGCTGAATAAAATTGCCTCAAAATACTGGTTGAATTAACTGAATAATGACCCGGCATCATTATCCTATCGAAAAAATTGAATACTCACAGAATGAGACCGTGGCATTTTTCTCTGTGCTGTATGCACTTGGAGAGAGTGACGGGGGAGAGAGACTCTCTAGGATGCCCAGTCTCTGCAGACACCAGTCGCTGCTCGTTAAATAAGAACCGACTTCTACGACTGGGATCTATTATCTGTATTTCTTGGCAGGACTGCTGGGGCTTATGGTTGTTAATTCATAAATTAACCTGTGTCACATGTGAATAGACCCTTTCCCCATAAAATTTTGATTTGTAGCATATTTGTTGAAATATGCTCCCCTGTGCCGTATGACCCTGCCATATCTACATGCAGCTCTTGTTTCAAAAACAAGTTGATAGATGTTTCTGCTGATTTTTGAAACCACCAGTCAATGTTTCCTACTAAACTAGTTCTTAAACATTGGCAGGAAGAAATAGAAACCCATTACGTCCTATGCTTGCCCAGCTCGATTGAGAAAGCTGCAATCCACCGGTTGTTCTCAAACACCTGCTGGTGGATTTAATGAGTGTATAAAAACGAAGTAGCATCTCTGTTTCATTTAAAACAATGCTGTCCTCTTTCTTGAGCATGTTTGATTGAAATCTGTTATTTGCTTTGCCATAGTCTTGTGTGTACCATCAACATTTTATTGATATATCAACATGACATGGGGAAGTGTAGACTCAGTGTATTGGTGCTGACTAGATTTGGTTTTTGTTTTACAGCTGGGACAACGTATATCTTTAGCAAAGGTGGTGGACAGATCACGTATAAGTGGCCTCCTAATGACCGGCCGAGTACACGAGCAGACAGGCTGGCCATAGGATTTAGCACTGTCCAAAAAGAAGCAGTATTGGTGCGAGTGGACAGTTCCTCAGGCCTGGGTGACTACCTTGAACTGCACATAGTAAGTACTTTTCAAATAAGGCTTGAAATTTCCATTTCACTGATAATTTTGTATATTTACAATTTTGCTTCTTAGATTGTTTTTTTTTTTTTGCCCCAGAAATCAATATCTTGTTACAGTAAACTTTAGAGGTATTATTGTTGTTAACATGTACTTTATAATACAAACAGTTATCTTTATTTTTGAATATGAAAACATTTCAATTTTGTATTCACAAAGGCTTTTGGCAGCAATTTTAGTGTCTTTAGGCAGTTAATAAAGTAAGTTCTTGCTTAGCAGTATTATAAAACCTAGCTTGAAGTAGCTGGTTCTAATATCAGTGGCATTCAAAGAACTGGATTTGGTGTTCTTACCTCTTTCCTTGTCAGAGAGAAAAATTGTCTAAAGCTACATGGTTACACAGTGTGGAAGGAAAGAGGGAAAGGATACTTTAAGGATATTTGGGGACATGAAAGAAAATGGCAAACACAATTGTTTTTGTGGCATTCTGTACCAGCTTTGATATGTGTCCAGAAAGAAAGGTCTATGGACGCTTGAGATTTATGTCCCAAAACTGTTCCTTTGTGTCTGAGTTCTGCAACACCTCTCATAAGAATTTAATCAGCACATTGTAAAAGGTAATGGTAGCTTATGACTGAGAAGCTTTCTTTTTAGATTCTGTAATTGACTTTATAGTTCAGGGACCCTTCTTTTTACCTCTATATTCAAAGAATTAACAAGGTCAGTCATGGTTCCTCAAGTCCTCATTTCCTTACATTACTTATGAAGACACAAATGCAGTGTTTAATTGGTAAGGGATATTAATATTCTACTTTATATCAAAATGACAAGCAGGAAAATATATCACATATTTAGAACTCTAGAGCTGGCAGTGTATATCTGTGGTAAAGTGCTTGCCTGGCATGTGCAAGGCCCTAGGGTCCATCCCAAACAGGATTAAAAATAAATCAGGAAAATAAATGAAAAAACTCTAAAAGGTTCTATATTTATCTAGAGTATCTTCTGGAAATTTCAAGAGCAATTAATTCTCCACAGCCTCTATTTTAAACTTAGATTTCGTCTGTCACCCCTGCCTCCTGTGATCATGTAAGTTTGATCTGTTTTCTTTTTGTTTAACTCGCCACAGTCTACTTTTAACCCTCAAGAGTTGTGATTAGGACACTATTTCTTTTCTTATTGGAAATTGGCTTTTAGGGATTAGTCCTAAAATCATTTGGAAAACCGCTGGACACCAAACTTTATTAGACATATTTATAAGGTTTCAATTCTTAAAGATTTTATTTTTCCTTAATCTTATTTTCACATTAGATTTCTAGAATTTCCAAAAAGCTGGGTAAAGGTTTACACTGACCACAAGGGCTAAATTCACTGCTAATCTTGGAAAAAATAAGCAGAAAATGCCACCTCAGCACAACCATTATTGAACCATTGTAAATTTTCCATTCAAAATGCGCTTGTCAAAAATGGGAACTCTGGGAAAGTAATTTCAGCTGCCTTTCAGCAAGTATCTAACAATCAAAATTGAAAGCATTTGGATTTTATAGCATCATAAATAAATGATCAGTTGAGATAAACTTAACAGGGCAGTAAGGGATCTTGCTGTTTAAAGTAATCTCAACTTTCGAAATATGTTTGCGTAGCTCTGATTTAAGAGTCTTGCTGCTTCAAGAAATATAAATTAAAAAGAAGAAAACAAGACCTTTTCCTTCTAAGAGAAATTACTTATTGATCCATAACCAATTACACATTTAGCCTGAGAAAAGTTGTGAAATGATCACTCTCAAGTTGTAAGGGGCTGTTATTGAATTACCCAACCTATTACTATTTGCTTTATGGAAAAGGGGTTTGGTTCACAATAATGCCCATTTCTTTCCACTTCTGACCAAATGTGAACTTAGGGTCCTTCAGAAAGTGAGTGATTGACACTCTCGATGTTGCCCTGCTTCACTCCTTTCCTGGCCATGCTCTTCCCGTCGTTGCCCTCGTGAGTGCCCCATCCCTCCTGGCTCCTGCCCTTTGACCTTACCTGTCCATTTAGTTTGGATTCATTGCTTATGTCTACACAACCTTTGTCTTGGACTGGAAATCTTCAAATTCTTTCCATGTCCCTAGAACCTGTCCTTAGGTGGGAAATTGATATAAGTACTGAGGAATTTCCCAATACTATCACATCAGATCTACCCATTCTTGTATCTAAACTAAGGCCCCAGTCTTAGTATTAATCTGGCAAGTAAAACCTTCTCCTTCCTTTGTCATCATTGTCTGTATAGTGTACAGGCAATATAATTCAAAAGCTATTTATTTTATTTTTAAATTAATTTTTAAAATTATTGTATTTATTTTATGTGTATGCATGTATTGCTTGCATGTAGGTAAGTGCACCCGTGTGTGCAATGCCCGTGGAGAGGCTGTCGGATCCCGTGGGACAGTTGTTAGCTGCCATGTGGGTGCTGGGATTCAAACCTGGGTCCTTTGCAAGAACAACCAGTGCTCCTAACCGCTAAGCCATCTTTGCAGCCCCTCAAGAGCTGTTTATATGGACACGAGTTACCTCCTTCTATATTTCTTTTTTTGTAATTCATTTACTTTTATTTTATGTGTATGAGTGTATGCCTGCCTGTGTGTAAGTGCACTCATGTCATGCAGTGCCTGTAGAGGACAGAAGAAGGTGTCAAATCCCTTGGAACTGGAGTAATGGATGGCTATTAGCTACCATGTGGGTGCTGGGAATTGAACCCAGGTCTTCTGTAAGAAAAGCCAGTACTCTTAACCACTGAGCTATTTCTCCAGCCCCCTCCTTCCATATTTCAACACACAATTAACACTAACCTAAGTTTAAGTTTTGTTACTGTTTGCTTGTGTTCTCCTTTGATTTTTTTTTTTAATACTGAAGCTGACCTCTAATTATTTCCTGTAACTGGGTTAATGAAAGAAGAGAAAATAATTAAATAATAAGAGCAAAGAGATGAGAAAATCACGACAATAGAAAGACAAAGAAAGAAAAAGGAAATAAATGGACTGGAACAGTAACACAAAATGATACCTTACATAGATGTAACATGTTTCTCTTGGTGTCTGGGGTAATTGCTTTTGAGATAGACTGGCCTTGAACTCCTGATCTTGCTGCCTTTGCTTTCTGACTACTGGGATAACAGGTGTGACCACTATACCTGGTAATCATCTTTAATATCAATTCAAAATATTCAAAATCTCTTTTATCTAACTATTGTTATCATTTTCAAATTCATCTTGGATTTCCATAATAAAATCCTGCTTTTTTCAGGACTGGAAAAGTAAAATTAAAAGACTACATTGAATTTTAGATCATTACTATTGTTGGGTATTTGTTTAAAGAATATAACAGATTTAAAATTTAAATTTTAATAGGTGACATGTCTTATCTATAAAAGTTAGAGATTTTGGTTACTTATTAAACTGCCCAGAAATTTTATGAAAACTTTTCAAGTTAGCATAAACTATGTATGGATCTCATTTTAAAAAAATCTTACTTCCATCTTTAATTGATAGAGGGAGGGAAAGAACAGGAAGGCTGATTGCATTCATTAAAAGATGCTCCATTCTTGCTGAAATGCATAATGCTGTTTCAATTAGCTAACTGTAAAAGTCTGATTGGCATATAATTTCATTGAAGACTTGAATATTTGACATGGCTTATCTTCCCATTTTTCAGAGTGATCAAGTTTGATTTCACTACAAAATGTAATCACATTTAAATTTTGATTAACTGTGAACTTAAAAATATAACAACTTGGGAAAAAGTGCTTTGAATCAGGTGTTCTAATTTGGTTTTGATAGATTGATTTTTGTTATATTAATATAAATGCCACCACTGTAGAGCTTACTATGTGTGGGATTACTATTGATTATAAGGGTTTATGAGGAGATGGGAATAGTAAAGCTTTGAAGTAGAGAATAATTTTTTTCTAATGTATTTTATTTATTATTTTTGCTTTATGTGTTTGAGTGTAGTGCCTGCATTAATGAAAGTGTACCTGTGTTGTCAGAAGAGGGTACTGGATCTCCTGGAACTGGAATTATGTATGGTTGTTAGCCACCATGTGGGTGCTGGAAACTAAAACTTAACTGGTTCAGTTTATTGGAAAAATTATTGGCATCTCCTTAAAAATTGCCTCATTTATTTTAGCCAATTTAATTTATCATGAATAGCTATTTCACTTGCTATTTCGTATCTACTGTTACTTTTAGATACAGATAAGCTTTCTAGTGGCAGAAAACATGATTTACAGTAATGATAATTATTAATAAGAAAACCACACAGAAATGTAGCTTATGTCTTGCAGTGCATGCTAGAATTTGTTCCATGATATTTATTGATCATCTAATGTGTCCCAGGCCTATGTTAGGCTTTATAGATATGAATGAACTAGCTTCTTAACACCAACTTCAATAAATGTTTGCAGACTAAATGAATGAAGAAGGCTGTCTGGGATCCCCATCACCAGATAGCTTGGACTATTTATAGTAAATATTTGTTTCAAACTGACTAGTATTTCTTGTTATTTGTTCATTTTTCCTTATAATGGTTGTAAATTTATTTGACTGCTATTTATAAGACCAATGGACAAATCATAGGTTTTTTTCAGACAAAGAATATAAAGTGCATGAAACATATAAAATGTTTTACTATAAACATGTAAATTGGTGATACTGAGGACTATTTAATTGATATTAAAAAATAACTATTTAGAAACAATGAGCTAAACATTGAAAGAAATGTATCTCATTAGCTGTATCATGCAGTTTTTCCAAAGCTGTCTCTATCAGAAAACCTCTAGTAGACAGTAGTCTAGTGATGTTAATTGGAGGTTACTTAGTAATGCTCAGATTTATGGAAGAAGGCCACTACAAATGAGGGCTAGCTCCCTTCCATGGACTTTAAAGGTGCCTGAGTCCTGACCGGGGACTGGAGAGGAAGAGATGAGTGAAGCGTGTTCTGTGAAATCCTTTCATCCTGGGAA